CTGGTCGAGAGACGCCCAGTACCTAACCCGGGCTGCCGCGGCCCAGCTGGGTTGGGACCTCGCATTCGACGCAACGACGGCCTACCTGCAGTCGGGAAGCTTCGATAACTTGCAACTGCTGCACATGCTGGCCAATAGCCCGCCGCCAGGGACTCGGCTTGGCGAAATCCTGATGGCCACCGGCGCGATCTACGGGACTCGTGACGGCGGCCGGCAACGTATGTTTTCACGTTTGTACTTGAAATCCGCCGCCTTGTTCCTCCCAGATCCTCTTACCTGTATCGTCTATATTCGCTTGTCTCTCTCCACCCCTCCTGCCCTTCTCCTGCCCTTTCCCCCCTCCCTCTCCTGCTCCTCCTTTCCATTCCGCTTCATCATATGTTGCTTCTTTTTCTTTCCAGCACTTGCTCCGATTCCTCCTCCCGCCTTTCCTTTTTCATCCTCTTCCTCCCCCTTTCCGACGGTGCCGACGCCGACGACGACGCCGACGCCGACGCCTTCGACGACGACGACGACGACGACGACGACAACGACGACGACGACGACGACGACGACGACGAGGCCAACGACGACGACGACGACGAGTACGACGACGTGGCGCGCGCGGGCAGGAGCAGAACCCGTTCTTGCGCACAGGCTTGCCCAACATCCTCCTCCGTTCTCCCCCCCCCTTCCCCGCCCACCGTGCAGAGACGGAGTCCAGGAAGAAAGGGACCCTCGACGTGTCGCGTCGTTTTCGAGCTGCAAGGACAGTCAGGAAACGATGAGGGATGGAACAAACCACGTTCCCCAGGGGAGCCCTGGGGCCCAGGGCTTGTTTGCACCAGGACCCTTCCGTTCTATGCCTCCCCTCGCCTCCTCCCCCTTTCCTCCCGCTTTGTCAGTACCCTGTTCTTTCCTGCTCACGTTGCTTCGCGCGCGGGACCGCGCGCGCGAGGGAATTGAGGCAGGAGGAGGGGAGGGGAGAGGAGGCGGTGGAGGAGGAGGAGGAGGAGGAGGAGGAGGAGGAAAGGGAGGAGGAGGAGGAGGAGGAGAAGGCAGGAGGAGGAGGAAAAGGAGGAGGAGGATGAAGAGGAGGAGGGGGAGGACGGAATTGCGAGGGATTGCGACTTTAGGGAGTTCGTTGTCGGCTCGCCGCGGTGACCCCCGGCCTTGCTTCACAGCGCCCGAATCTTCCTCGAGACCGTGCCGGCTGCATTTGGACCCGCCCATGGGTTCACGTTCAATGTGAGGTTCGTCCCGTCGGCGCCCGCGCATTCATACTCGCGGCGAACGACGGCAGAACGAGATGATCAGTCCAACGCGCGTGAGTGACATGCAGAAAATGGCAACAGTGAAGACGAGGCGAGACAGGCGAATGCCAGTACCACGATCAGTCCAGCGAAGGACAGCACGCCAGTAATTCGGCAGCGGCGAAGGGAGGAACCAACCAGTACTGCCAGTACTCGGCACTGAAAGCAGGCAACATCAACTCACTCACCACGTGCTCCGCCCTGCCATCCGTGAGCTCCTGTCACCGAACAAAGTGCGAGCGAATGCTCTCAAGGCCAAGGGACCAAGCCACTGCGAATCACAAAAATGAAGCCCCTGCCCATCCATCGCAATTGCACTCTCGGACTCTTGCCCAGTTTTGACGTCTGAAAGTGTTTTCTCCATGCAGTGAGAGCGATGCACTTGCAGCAACACAAAACAGTGCCATCACCTCCCACATGAGATGGCCCCCCATACGTTGTGAGCTGGCTAGAAAGCACATCACGTTATTCCAAACCCTGCCCAGCAACAACTGCGTTTGGAAGCACGACCAGGCCGCAGGGAGGATGGATTTGGTGAGCTCGTAGCCCGCAGAGCATCCTCACCCAACATACGGCCTGGGTCGGAAATTGCTGCTGCAGGACAGGAACACCAGACACCGCCCATGCCAGCCGTGCACCGAGCCCAGAAATATCTGTACCCTCCCATGCGGATTCGAGAACACTGGTACCGTGGCTGATGATGTCAGGCCCCAGCACTGGGACTCTGCTGGAATGCACCTCGCTGCCCTCGGCACACGGAAGATGAGTTACAGCAAGTTCGGTAGCGCACAGATTGGTATCGGCGTTGCCAACGACGAAGAACATGAAACCACCAGCGTTTCTTGCATGCCGCTTGGCACACCCTCAATTCGCGAGCCCTGCTCCGATGCAGTTAACCGACAGCAGCCAGGTTGGTGCGTGCGCTGATATGGCCTCGAGCTCCCATCCAGGGTGAGCCAAAATGCCAAGGGAAGGAACGCTTTGGCCGAGGACTGGAGAGGAAGACTAGGTGGAGAAAGATGAGCAGGAGGAGGAGAGGGCAGACGAGAGGATGATATAGGAGAGGGGACGAGGGGACGGTTGAAGGGCGAGAGGGTTATGGGGACGAGGGTATGAAGGTGTTTACGTGTGACTGGTGAGGGATGTCGGAGGGCGGCGACGGGCACGCGTGCATTTATCCTTCTTCTTCCATTCCGTCCATCCTTTCCTCGGTTCCTTCCCCCTCCCCCTCCTCCTTATGTTTTCTCCGAGCCCCTATCTTTCTCCTCATCAACCTTTATCCTCCTCCCCGTTTTTCTTATCACAAATTTCGTCATGTGCACACCGAGGCGTATTGGTAGGGCGGGCCGGGCGTTTCGCCAGAGACTCCCTCACCATTTATGGTCCTCAAGCTGAATATGTACAAGAGTTTCACGGATGGAGGGCGACCCGCTTTCAAAATGTGGTTCTCGCCTAAGCGTCGCGCACACCTTTTAATCATTTGCAAGAGTTTCACGGGTCGGCAGATCGTTTTCTAACTGTGGTTCTCGCCGTAGCACCGCGCATAATCGTCCGAAATAATGTAGAAGATTCACGGATGGGCGGGCCGTTTTCAATGTGTGGCTCTCGCCTTCTCATTACGCACATTCGTTAAACAACTTGCGGAGACGTCGCGGATGGAGGGCGGGCCGTTTTCAATTCGTTCTCGTTTCTGCGCCGCGCGGGTCGTTTTCAGAATGTGGTTCTCGCTTTATCGCCGCGCGCATTCGTTTGAAAAGACGCCAGAGGTTCACGGATGGAGGGCGGCTCCTTTTCAAAATGTGGTTCTCGCCCTAGCGCCGCGCACATTCGTTTCAAGAGTGTACAGAACATTCGACGTTGCAGGAATGATTGGCGTTCCGGAAAGGATGTTTTGGCCCGATGTCGGAATGTCAGGGCGCACGGGATTTCATGGATGGATGTTTGGTCGTTTTGAGAATGTCGCTCTCGTTCTCATGCAGTACGCTGTGCAACCGTTTCGCGGATGGAGGGTGGTTCCTTTTCAGGATGGGGTTCTCGCCTCAGTGTCGTGCGCATTCGTTTGATGAGTGTACAGGAATTTCAAGGAGTCTCACAGTTAGCGTTCCAGAATTGATGGTTTGGCACGGTGCCGGACTGTCCGCCGGGCGCAGCCGTCACGTTGATTCGCGGTGTTGCAGTCACAGGAGCGGTGCCCTGGCACGATTTAAGGGCGTCAACACCGAACAGTAGCGAGGATTTGTGGCTTTGAAGTCCGATGGGACTGTTCTGAGACATTCCTGGTTTTTCAACGGTTGGTCTTTCAACAGAGCAGGTTCGTGAGTGAATATGGAACTGTGTATGCGTCCTACGAAGAGGGTTGTTTGAGGGGGTGTCGTTTCATCATCGTTGAGAGTCTTAGGTTTTCACTGGTCCTCTTCCTCCTCCTCCACCATCTGTTTCCCTTTCGCTCCTCTATGTCATACCCCGAGGGCGGTCGAAAGGGCGGTCGGGGCGTGTTGTATGATATTTCGTCACCATTCATGACCTTGAAACTTGAAATCTGTAACAGTATCACCGATGGTGGGCGACCCATTTTCAAGGTTCTCGCCTTCGCACCGTGCACGTTCGTCTTGCAATTTTGCAGGAGCCCCACGGGATGCATGGCGGCACGTTTTCAAATTGTGAATCTCGCAGTACCGCAGCGCACATTTGTTTCAAAAAGAGTGCAAGGGTTTCGCGGATGGACGCTGGCTCCTTTTCAACGGGTGGTTCTCGCCTCAGCGCCGCGCGCGGTCGTGCTAAAACGTGCAGAGGATTTATGGATGGAGGCTTGGTCGTTTTGAAAGTGTCGCTCTCGCCTTATTGGAGCGCGCAGTCGTTTTCAACATTTGCCACCGTTTCGCGGATGGGGTGCGGCTCCTTTTCAACCTGGGGTTCTCGCCTCAGCGTCTTGCGCATTCATTTCAAGAGTGCGCAATCGTTTCAAGGAATCTCACGGTTCACGTCCCAGGAATGATATTTCAACACGAAAACGCAATGTCAGGGCGCAACATTCATGCTGATTCGCGGTGTTGAAATCCCAGGAACGGTGCCTTGGTTCAGTTCAGGATCGCCAAGACGCAACAGTAACGGTGCTTCGCGGCGCGGCATTGAAGTCCCAGGAATGGTGTTTTGGCACAGCTCCAAATTTTCAGAAAAGGTGTGTGGTCCAATGGGGTACTTCCTCTGTAGGGGCTTATGAAGATGGAACGTGGAGGGAGGTGTATTGCAGTATCGTTGCTTGGTCTTGAGTCTTGGCTTTACACTGGTCCTCCTCATGTTCCTCATCTTCTCTCCCGCTCTCCAACCATACATAATCTCACGTCTTCTCCCGTATCACCTCTTCCTCTTCTCTCGTCCTCGTTCCCCTTTTCTTCCTCCTCTCTACGTTTGCCTTCTCCTCGTAGTCCTTCTCCGAGTTGGAGAAGGACTACGAGGAGAACATCATCAGAGTTAGGAGGGGAAGGAGAAGGAGGACGAGGACGAGGAGGAGGATGCCCCCCTCGCCCATCCTCCCCGTCAACCCTTCCACCGCTTCCTTCTCCTCGCCATCCTCTCTGGCTCTCCTCGGCCGAGGGCGGTGGCTGCCGACAGCGACGACGGCGGCGGCGGCGACGCCAGCGCCAACGACGACGCTGACGGCGACGACCTCGGCGGCGACGACGCGGGCGGCCGCGACCGCTGCCCGAGCTCAGGCGGCCCCGGCAAGTGGACGTGGAGGCCCAGCCGCATGAGCGTCGCGGAGCTGGCGGCCACGGCCCTCGAGGTGCGGCCTCGCCGGGGGCGTGGAGGAGGAGGAGGAGGGAGGAGGGAGGAGGGAGGAGGAGGGAGGAGGAGGAGGGAGGAGCTCGAGGAGGAGGAGGAGGAGGAGGAGGGGGAAGGAGGAGGAGGGGGAGGGAGAGGAGGAGGAGGAGGAGGAGGCGGAGGAGGAGGAGGAGGAACAGGAGGAGGAGGCGGAGGACCTCCTCCTTCCCGTCCCTCCCATCCTCCTCCTGTCCATTCTTCCCTCTCCATCCGCATCGCTCCTCCCCTCCCCCCGCCCAGGAGGAGGAGGAGGGCAAGATGAGGAGCAGCAGCAGGAGGAGGAGGAGGCAGGTCGAGGAGGAGGGGGAGGAGAAGGAGGAAAAGGCAGGAGGAGGAGGAGGAGTAGCCTTCCCTCCACTCGGAGCCTTCCCCTCCCCCTCCCCTCCTCGACCACCTTCCTCCCCCTTTCGCCACCCCGCAGGAGGTGGACGTGGCCGGGGACCTGGGCGAGGCGTGGCAGGCCTCCGCCCAGTGGCAGCCGCCTTTCGCTCCTCCTGCGGGGGACAGCCACGACGTCGTCGTCGTCTTTTCGGAGGCTTCCTGGGCGCTTCGCGTCGTTTCGTCGTCGTCGCCGCCACCGCCGTCTTCGTCGTCGTCGTCGTCGTTGCGTCCTCGTTTGTTCGTCGTGCCGTCCTCGTCGATTCTGCGCGGTGTTCGTAGATTCGTGTTGTTCGGCCTCTCTGGTTTGTCGATGGGGCGTCCCTTGATCGAGCATTGAGGGCCGCACTGGGGGGGGGTCGAGCGGGGACAGATATCGAGCAGACGCTGGCCAGAGGAGGAGGAGCAGGGGGAGGAGCGGGAGCGGGAGGAGGAGGAGGAGGAGGAGGAGGATGATGAGGAGGAGGAGGATGGGGGAGCACGACGACGACGGCGGCGACGACGACGACAACTACCTCGAGGACGAGGACGTGGGAAAAGGAGGGTGAGGAGGGAACGTTAGGGGGAAAGGGGGAGGAGTGGGAGGAGTGGGAAGGGTGAGGGGGAAAGGGGGGGCTGTTCAACATCTCCCCCCTCTTTTTCTCCCTTCTCCTCGTACCCCTCCTTTCCCTCCTTTCCCGTTGCGACGACAGGTTCGTTCGTTCGTTCCCACTCACCCCCGCTCCCTCCTCTCCGTTTTCCTCCTTCTCGGTCCCGGGGCTTGGAGCAGGAGCAGGAATTTGATGAAGTCGACGACGACGACGGCGAAGAGGAGTGGGAGGATGACGTTGATGATGATGATGATGATGATGATGATGATGATGATGATGATGATGATGATGATGATGATGATGATGGTGATGGTGTTGGAGGTGGTGATGCTGATGATGATGATGATGATGATGATGGTGATGATGGTGATAATGAATATGAAGATGAATTACCCCAGTGCGACCCTACCTAGAAGTTGGAGCCCCTAGGAAAGCAGCATTAGTTCCTATGCTATGCTATGCCATAACATGTTATGCTGCGCTATGCTATGCGATGCTATGCTATGCTATGCTGCGCTATGCTATGCTATGCTATGCTAAGCTGTGCTATGTCATGCTGCGTTATGCTATAATATGCTGCGCTATGCTATGCTATGCTGGGCTATGCTATGATATGCTGTGCTGCGCTATGCTACGCTATGCTATATTGTGCTCTGTTATGCTAAAACTCAGCGAAGCTAAGATGAAGGTAAGCTAAGCTAAGATAAACCTGAGCTAAGATGATGCTAAGCTAAGCTAAGATGAAATAAGCTAAGCTAAGATGAGATAAGCAACGCTAAGCTAAGGGGACGTAATTGGGGGAACCGCGGGGCGGATCTTGGGGGAACCGCCCGGGGCGAGCCCCACTGCCCGGCCCCTTTCAGCTCAGAGAGTAAGAACCCTTCTAGGCAGAGCCTATGTAGGGAATATAAATGATGCTGATGCTGATAATGATGATGGTGGTGCTGATGATGATGCGGTTGATGATGATTATGATGATGATTATGATGATACGGTTGAGGAGGACTCAGGCGAATATTGTGATGATGTTGCTGATGATGATGTCCATGCTGATGTTGATGATGACGATGCTGATGATGCTGATGATGATCCTGATGACGATGACGATGAGGTTGAGGAGGAGGAGGAGGAGGAAGATGGACATGAAAACGATCATGATGCTGCTGCTGATGCTGATGCTGATGATGACGATGAGGTTGAGATCAAGATGATGATGATGTTGAGGAGATGGAGGAGGAAGATGCAGATGGAGGAGGAGGCAGATGACTATGAGGTTGAGGAGGAGGAGGACGATGCAGACGAAGCTGATGATGATGAGGATTGTGATGATCATGCTGATGGTATTGAGATTGAGGAGGAGGAGGAAGATGAATGTAATGATGATGATGATGATGATGATGATGATGATGATGCTGATG